TTTCTATATCAGTAAGCCGGAATTAATCTGCTATCTGGCTTTTCCATTTGGAATAATTTGAGATTAATGATTTTTTATCTGTAAAATATGTTAAGTCTAAAATTAAAGACAGTATAATAATGCTTGTTCTAGAAATGTTGACAGAAGTACTGGTCAAGATTCTTAGAATAATCCATTCCTTTTGATATGTTGCTTATACATGCCTGATAATCAGGGCTGAGCAAAAATTAGTCATAATTATATCTTTTTTTAAAATTAGTTAATTAATTTTTGGCTGTGTTGGGTCTTCGTTGCTGCACGTGGGTTTCTCTAGTTGTGGCGAGCGGGGGCTGCTCTTCGTTGTGGTGTGTGGGCTTCTCATTGCCGTGATTTCTCTTGCTAGGGAGCACGGGCTCTAGGTGCGTGGGCTTCAGTAGTTGTGGCTCATGAGCTCAGTAGTTGTGGCTCTCGGGCTCTAGAGCGCAGGCTCAGTCATTGTGACGCACGGACTTAGTTGCTCCACCGCACGTGGGATCTTCCCGGACCGGGGCTTGAGCCCGTGTCCCCTGCATTGGCAGGTGGATTCTTACCACTGCGCCACCAGGGAAGTCCCCATAATTATATCTTAAGTGAAGTATGTTTCTGGCGCTGGTATCTTTAATGGAAAGAAGAGGGTGGTATCTTTAATGGAAAGAAGAGGGTGTTGGGTTTTTTTTTTAATATACTGATGGTGAGTGGGCGTGGTATATTGGGAAATCCATACGCCTAATTACTTCTAATTGTCAGGCTTCCTTTTTGTGCCCAGGCATCTAAAACCTAACTTGCTTGCCTCTCCTTTTGCTTAGTTACCATTCCTTCCCACTGTTGGTTTTTGCTTTCCCCAAGCCTACCTAGATTCTTTCCTTGAGCAAAGAGCACTGTCTCATTCTTTCCTTGCTGTTCCTGAAAACAAGCTTACAGCAGAAAATAATGAAAGTGAAAAGGTTGCTAGGGTTAGGTCCAAGGTTTTAATTTCTAAATCGCTAGGTAAGATGACTGTGTACTCCCACTGAGTTTCTTCTTTTGATTTTGTTATCCTTAAAGCAGAGTACTAACCCTCTTGACCTGAGTATGGGTAAGAATATACCTCTTTCTAGCCTTAAAGATGAAATCAGAATAAACCAGATGTCCCCTTGTCTTAAATGAGTTGCTTACATCTGGACAGTCTGTCTGGATTTAGCACTTCTGGGATTGTTTACTCATTATGAGAATGGTCCCATTTGGGTACTTGTTCCTGGTGGAAAGTTGAGGAAAAGACTATTTCCAACAACTATCTCTCTACCCTACCAGTTGCAACAAAAATGTACTCTGGAAGCAAAATACTATTGCCCATGGCATTAGTTCAGCTCACACTGTAAATTTTAGAACCTTTGGCCAAAGGCTTGTAACTCACAGATTGGTCATACTTCTTTCATTCCTTCTTTTATTGAACCAACTGAGACTCTCCAGTGTGCCAGGCATTTTGCTAGACATTAGGATTTAGCACTTGAGACAAATGTAGTCTCTGCCTCTCGCTCTGCTCACTGTGTAATTCAAGGGAAGAAATGATAAGCTTAGCCTTGCAATTTCTCCTCTCCTCTGGTCAAAACCTTTTCTACTTTGAGGTTTAAGCCTATACTGCTTTCTTATCTTTTATCAGTCTTTTTTCCCCCACTCCCAAGTCTTATTGCCCTGGTGTCTTCCATGTCCTTGTACTAAATAAGTAATCAATTGCCTAGCCTTCTAATTTCTTGTTGATCCGAACTCGTCAGCATTCCCCTCCATTCCACTTCACCAGCCCCCATAGCTGTGTCCTCCACCCCTGAAACACTGGACTATAATAGAGCAGTAACATTCTCACTTATTTATTCCCGCAATGCCTGGTCTTTGGCCCTAAGCCCTTTTAGTGCTTTGATCTTTCTGTTTTTTCTTCAAGTTCTTAGCCCCGTTCTAATCTCAGTTTATTCCTAATCTAGCCTAATCAACATGATCTGCCACTTCAGTCACCTGCTATCCCATTGACCTTATGTTCAGGAAAGCTCTAATCTAATCAGTTTATTTGTTAATGCTCCTTTATTCCTGTATCTCAGTTACTGAACATCACTGGCAGAAATCACAGAAACTTTTAAATGGCTACTGGGACAAATTCATAGTCCCGAACTCATGTGGACACTTAGAACTCACCAAATGTCCCTAGACAACTCCTTCCATTCTCTACAACTATTAGAGCCTATACTATCAGTCCCACTATTCTTTTTTAGCAGACTGCCTCTCTTTCTATTTGAGGCTGTCAGATCTGATTCCCTTCAACTTCCTGTTCTAATCCTTGTCCCCAGTACCATATTGTCTACATTTTCACCTGTCTTTACTTCCCTCTCTCTAGGCTTAGTGGGAGATGTGTTCCTCCTTCTTTCCAAGGCTAAACACTCTCTTTATGTTTTGGATCCCATCACTTTCTGCCTGTTCAGGGTCTTTGTCACTTCTGCCTCTTTTTTCCATCCTCTATCCCAACTTCTTTCTTTATATAAATATATTCATGTCTTTGCCATATTTAGAAAACAAATCCTTTCTTCACTCGAGGTCTATTGTAGCTTCCAGTCTCTGCCTTTCATAGCTGAATTTCTTGAGAAGTCATGTTTTATTATTTTTTTCACTCACTATATTTTGACTTCACAACTCTACTCTTTTGATGAAATGCTTGTCCCCTACATCACCAGTGATCTCCTAATTGCTGAATCCAGTGGTCTTTACTTAACTCATCCTTAATTTACCTCTCTGTTATATTGAAGCTATTGATCACAGCATTTTGAAACTCCGCTCCCTTGACTTCTATGATTCTTCTTTACTATTTCTTCATCTCCTCTTCTTGGCCTCTTCTCAGACTTTCTCAAAATTATTTATTAAAAAAATTTAAACCTCCTGAACAGTTAAAAAATAATGCATCTTTGAAATTTTTCAAACTTCCCAAAGAGTTACAAGAATAGTACAGTGATAACCAGTTGTTAAGTTTGCCATATTTTCTTTGTCTGCCCCTCCCTCAGTTTCTCCTCTCTCAGTATGTATGTGTGTGTATATTCAAAGTTTTAATTTTTTTGGTATACAATTTGAAAGTTATTTGTAGACATGGCACTTCGCCCTTAAATTCTTTAGTATGTATCTCTTAAGAATAAGGGCATTACATAACTACAGTGTAATTGTCACATTTGGGAAATTTAACATTGATATACTGTACTGTTTTCTAATACATCGTCCATACTCAGACTTCCCCAGTTGTGTCAGTAATCTCCTTTATAGCTATTTTGTTTTGTTTTTAACATCCAGGATTTAATCAAGGATCACACATTGCATTGAGTAGCCCTGTGTCTTTAGTTTCCTTTACTGTAGAGTACTGTGTCTTTAGTTTCTTTTACTTTAGTTTCCTTTACTTTTTCGTCATTCATGACATTGACATTTTTTGAAGACTCTGGGCCCAGTTGTTTTGCAGAGTATCCCTAATTTGGATATGGTTCATTGTTTCCTCATGAAAACACTTAAATTTTAAATTTAGGTTAAATGCTTTCTGCAGGAATATTTTACAGGAGCATTGTGTTCTCAGTGCATGGGCTCAGGAAGCACATAATGCTGGTCTGTCTCATTTGGTGAGACTGAGTTTGATCACTTTGTTAAGGTGGTGTCCACCAAACTTCCCATTCTACCGATACCTTTTTCCCTCTGTAATTAAAAAGTATCTATGGAATGAAAGAGATTGTGTTAATATTCTGTCCTAATAATCTTCTACACCCAATGGTTTTATTATCCATTGTCTCTTAGCCAAATCGAATAATACTCTGGTGATTATAAAATGGAGACTTTTCTATTTTTATCATTTTTTTCTATATTGTCATTCTTCTGTAAAGAAGAGCTTTTCATACTTGCTTTTTCAAATTTAATTTTTTTTAATAGTATGGACATTTTTTCAGTGTGTTATCCATTTCTTTCATTATTCAAATTTTGGTCCGCAAATTTTCCCAGGTTTTGCTAGAGAGAGCTCCATTAAGATGGCTTCTGTGTCCTTTTAACATATCCCTGTTAGTTTTTGAGTAGTTCCTTACTTTCTGTATAATAGCGTGCTCCAGGTTTACCTTGCACTTTCCCTGACCCTGGCCTAGAACTGTCTTATTCTCCATGGAACCCTGTTTTTTTTTCATAGAGAAACCAAGATCTGGGTGCCAAGCTATACTTTTTGCTACTGAAGTCTCATTGTTCCTGGCTCTTTCAGTACACAGAGCTAGGAAGTTTTGTTTTTGTTTTAAATCATGGCTACATATTGATATTCCTAATTTCAGTCCAATTCCGTAGGGTTCTTCTTTCCTCGGCCTACATTTGCATCTCTGTTTTTCCACAGTGAGAAAAGCCTGGTAACAACATCAGTACATTTACTCATTTGCTTAGTTGTACAATACATGCATAATAGTTTGAGAATTATAATACCAATACTATGAGTAGCTATAAACCTACTAAGTGTGGTTTAAGATTTTTTGGCAATTTTTTTAATGCTTACATATATGTCACTAAGAATGTTCAATGTAAAGTTATTTAAATATCTTTTTTTTCCTTTTGTGGTAAAATTATCAAAGTAATAGTCAATTAAATTTATGTATTTCTGTTGTATTCAATTTTATTTCCTTCCCCCATCCAGATGTAATTTTATTTTTGAAATGTATAAAACATTAACATGGTTCAGAATTTAATAATCACAATAATGATATTTGATTTAGGTAAGAAAAGAAATGAATGATAAAACCCTTCAGGTTTTACTCAGAGGTCCCATTCCCTTTCCTGCCTTTCCACTATCATTAGCTTTTTTTTTTTTTTTAAATAGGTTTCTTGTTGGGATGTTTTATGTTATTGTTATTTTTTTGGACACGCCACATGGCATGCGGGATCTTAGTTCCCCAACCAGGGATCGGACCTGGGCCCTTGTCAGTGATAGTGCCGAGTCCTAACCACTGGACCGCCAGGGAATTCCCTGTATCATTAGCTTTTGGCTTAATTTAGGTGTGCTCATTATTGCAGATATAAGCATGTACCTATTATATATATTCTTATTTCCACTGTTACACAAAAGGTAGCATACTGTGTTACTGCTGTGCCATATATGCTCTTTTGCACCTTGCTTTCAGAGATGTTCCTCATTCTTTTTACAATTTTTTTACACAGGGTTTTCATGCAGTATCCTATGCATGGGCATTTAGGTTGTTTCTAATGTTTCACTTTTACAAATAATATTGCAACCAATGGCCACGTATATAGGCTTTTTCATGTTACTAGAGGTGTATAAGAACTTAGAATTTAAGACTTAGCATGTCCAAAGCAATATATCATTTTCCCAAAACTTTTTTCTTTGTTTCCATTTCCTGTTATTGAATGACACCATTACTTACACAGAAACCATGGTATCATCATTTCTTCTCATATCTCCTTAGTCAGCGAGTGCTAATGATGCACTTTTACCCTTTTTTTCCCCACTTTCATTTTCTTAGTTACAGGTTTTACTTCTTGCTTAGTTTACTAGCCTTCTAACTGGTGTCGTTTCTTCCCTAAAACTTCACACTGCTACTAGAACTGTCTTTCTTAAAGCCAAAGGTTATTCACTTACCTTACCTCAGCATTTCTCCTCTGCCTCTAAAAGAAGATTCAAATGCCTTTGCCTAGATGCCCAGGCCTTCCATTTCCTATATGTCCAGCCTAAAACATGTCCTAACCACTTCTAACCATACTGAACTACTTTTAGATCCTCAAGACGTGTCCCATCCTGTCAAGCCTCTTTTGCACTGGGAATGCCTTTTTTTTTTTTTTTAATACCCTCTACATTTCATCTTAATAACTTTTTATGATACAGCTTAGGTATCTCCACCTCCAGGAAGTCTTCTTGCCAGGTCAGATGTAGCTCCCATGGCACCTTGTGCTTAGCTCCATTGACTCATCTCTCTTCCCTGGGACTTTGGGCTCCTGTGGGCTAGAGACTCCTTCTGTTGGTTCTGCTTTCTTGTTAAGAGCCTATAAAATAGTAGACATTCAACAGTTAGTGAATATATGAATAAATTTGATCTGTTTACATTAAAACAGATTATTTAGGTTTTCATTTACATGTTTACTACAAAAAATCCAAACAGTGCAGATGTATATAAGAAGTGAATGTCTTCCATTACCCCATCTCAGTCTCCAGTGGGAACTATGATTAATAGTTTAATGTTGGCAAGAAAAGCACAAAATAGATTTTCCAGTTACTATAGGATAAAAATGTCTACTACTTTGTTCTTATAGATCATCTCTTTTCCTTTAGGCAATGATAGTAAGAAATGCTAAAGATACAGCTCATACAAAAGCAGAACGGAATATTCTGGAGGAAGTAAAGCATCCCTTCATTGTGGATTTAATTTATGCCTTTCAGACTGGTGGAAAACTCTACCTCATCCTTGAGTATCTCAGCGGTCAGTACATAGCTTGGTGTAATTATTTGCATTAGCTCCAGAAACTTGGTCAAAACATTATTTTCCAATAGAAAAATGCTTTTTCCCAATGTGACCAAATAGTTCCTAAAATTGACAAATACATTGACATAAGGAATTCAGATGTGACGAAATGTTTCTTTTTGCAGACAAATGTGAAGGAAACTTTAAAGGTTAAGTCTTTTTCCCCATCTGTAATATTTTATCTTAATCCCATTGTAATCAATTAAAGGAGCAAATAGCTAATTGATAGCCATCAAATTGACTACACTTGGGTAAGATCATATAATTCAAATAAACCACTGATTTATTTTTTTGTAAACTGACATGGAAAACTTAGAGTGTTGTTTAAGGTAATGAGTATTTTTGGTATTGCATCTTTAAACAGAAGAGTTTTTTGTTTAATGTAGTCTTATTGATAGATTTTGCAGTTTACATTGGAAATCACCCACCTTTTCCAGGGCTTACCCCCTCCTAGGAATTTGTGGTACCCCATAGCATTTCAAGATCACAGGTATCTATTTCCAGCAAACACACTTGAGTTTTCTGAAAAACAGATTTCACAGGAGCCTGTAACATGGAACAGAAATTTGCAGAATTTAGTCACTTTTTTGTGACGGTTGTTTTTTTCTTGTACCTTTATTTTAACATAGTTTCAGATTTCCGCAAAAACGTTCTAAGAACAGGACAAAGAATTCCCAAGTACTCTTCACCTAGATTCCCCAAGTGTTATCATTTTACCACATTGTTTTGTTTCATCATTCTCTTTCTCTCCCTCTCTGTATATGTACGTGTGTGTATATAGATGTGTATATACACACACATATGTGTATATATGTTCATAATTTTTTTCCTGAACTCTTTAAGAGAGTGTCACAGACATGATTTCCCTTTACCCCTAAATGCTTCAATGTATATTTTTCTGAAATTAAAGACAGTATCTTACATAACTGTACTAAAATTATCAAAATAGGAAATTAACATTAATACAATAATCTCTCTCAGTTTCCTTTAATCTGGAACAGTTCCTCAGTCTTTCTTTGTCTTTCATGACCTTGACATTTTTGAAAAGTACAGTTTAGTTACTTTGTAGAATGTATCAGTTTGGGCTTATATGGTGTTTCCTCAGGATTAGATTCAGGTTATGCATTTTGGGGAGGACCATCGAAGTGACATTGTATCCTTCTCTGTGTATCAGAGCAAGAGGTACATGATATTTGTATCTTTGTTCCATTACTGTTGATGTTAACTTTGATCATATGTATAAGGTGATGTCTGCCAGTTTTTTTTTTCTGGTGAAATTTTCCTTTTGTAATTAGTAAGTATCTTGAGGAGATACTTTGAAATTATTTAAATATCTCATCTTTCATCAAACTTTCACATACAGTTTTAGCATCCATTGATTCTTGCCTGAAACAATTAACTATGATGACTGCCAAGTGATTTTTCTTACTCCATCATGGCTTCTTCATTTATTATTTGGCATTCTGCTGTAACGAAGAGCTTTCCATTTATCTATTCACTGATTTACATCATTGTGGATTCATGGATTCTAAGATTTTTCAGTAGGATATCACACTTTATTATCATTGTTTATTTTGATATTCAAACAGTGCCATACTATTTACAAGGACATTGCCAAATTCATCCAGTTTAAGAGTTCTGAAAATGTGGAATATGGGCATTCACTAATTTGCAAGGATGGTTTAATTACATACTAACATTTTTCTAAATGCCGGTAAAATGTTAGAGAAGCTTTAATCAAGATTTTTTTTTTAACCGCAGGTCTGGAATCTATAAATATTTTGAAGTTTATAGATGTAAAACCTAGAATTCCAAAACTTGTATATTTCACATAAGACTAAGAACACTGCTAAAAATGGAATACTGAGGACTTAGTTTTAAACCTGTAATGTTTAGGATCTGTTTTTTATTTTTAAAGGGTTGATGTCTTTTAATTATGGCTGAAAGGAAAGCACAAACCCTCTCATTAGAATGGATTGTTGGGAAAAAAAAGATTGCTTTGTTTCTAATGTCTTTTTCTTTTCTTTACAGGAGGAGAATTATTTATGCAGTTAGAAAGAGAAGGAATATTTATGGAAGACACAGCCTGGTAAGTGAAATTTTTGTGGTTGTATGGATTCAGGTAATAATTCATATAATTAAAAGCAAAGTCCTGTTCCCACTGTGGGCAGCCAGATGATTCAGTAAATTGTTCTGGAGCCAGTTGGTCACTCAGGACTCTAAGAGGGAGAAGCAGCTTTGGGACTTGGCAGCCATTGGAGGTCACATCATTCCTTTGCCCCCAGGCTTTGGGTGGAACGTTCTTCACACCAGTTCCTAACAGAACCATTCTCACTGGGGCTTTCTTTCCTTGAATTGGTAAGCTGCCTGCCTTGGCTCTGGGTGAATGTGATTTTCCAGTAAAACTTTATGTGTGGAGCAATGGAAAGTATCAGAAATCATCTCCTCTTTTTTTGTAGACTTTCCAGTTCCCAAGGTGCAGTCTTAGGGAGGTGATAAGCCTGCACATATCATCTGTGGATTGATTCAATGGCCAGGATGGGATCTACCCTCATATTTCTTAAGATGGCATCTGCTTCAAATTAAAAATATACACACCCTTTTGTGAGATGACAGTATTGGGTAACAATAAATCAGTTTATCCTACACATTAACTGAATAGAAAACACTTAAATGTTTTTTCTACCTTAATTACCAAACTGCATTCCATTGTTTAATTTCAGGCCTTTTCTAACACAGAAGCTGCATTTAAGAGCCTTAGGGATGAAGTGCCCTTTTTGGAGGAGGCTCTCTGAGCCATGTTGGAGGCTGTGTTTGTGGTCCTGCTGGCTGTGAAACTGCCTCAGTCCTCTAGGACACACCCTCTCCATCCTGGAGTAATCTGCAGGATTGCAACATTGTTATGCAGCCAGTATTGCAGTGCCTTGTGCTTTTCGAATCCAGACAGGGTTGACTCAGCCCTTTATTCTTTTGAGGTAGATAAATTTGAGTGTCACACAGTTTATAGTTGTGGGCTGGCTGGCAAGAGGGAGGGCAGATACTGTGGGCATGAGCTGTATATAAATATGCAGCTGTATTAAGTAAGGGATGCGTGGGCTTCTAAGGGTCAGGTTATAAGGTATTTTTGAAACTAAGACTTGATCTCTGAGAATAACAAAGTTCCTATTTCCTATGGGATTTAAAAATTGGGGGTGGGTGGGAGAAATTTGCTTTGATCTGAATGACTATTGGCCTAGTTCCTACATAGACAGAACAAAACACGACCAGTGACAGTTTGGCATATTCTGGACTTCTTTGCAATTTTAGCAATATGTTCTAATGATGAAATAAAACATTTTATGGTTTCACTAAACGAGTGAAACGTAAATGTTTCCATGCCTTTTGGCAGCATCCTATGCCATCTCTTTTCCCCATACCCACCCCCACTCCCACTAATTTGGTCTTTGGTGCATGTCTATTTCTTTCAAGGAATTTTGCTCCATACATAAACTGCTTTGAGTAGATTACTCTTTTTAATTTTATTAAATCACTTTTGTTTCCAGCTTTTACTTGGCAGAAATCTCCATGGCTTTGGGGCATTTACATCAAAAGGGGATCATCTACAGAGACCTGAAGCCGGAGAATATCATGCTTAATCACCAAGGTGGAGATATACTGTAAACAATTCTATAGTAAATAATCATCTTAAAATCTTCCCACACAGGTCATGGTCATTTTCAAAGCCCCATATTTATGCGTCAGTTATTATACATTGCTCCCTCAGAACTTATAGCATCATGATACTTGTACTTATGATTGATGAGATTAAAGAGAATTGAGGATAACTGGCCACAACTACCTTTTCTAGTTTAATCCTTACTCTTTATAGCTTGTCATTCTTTTGTAATCCTTACATAAAGTGTGGTGAGCCAGAAGCCAGTCCAAATACTAATTTTGGTTGGTTCCTTAAATAGGAAAGTGAATCTTAACTTTATAAATTGAGTTTTCTTTACTGATGAAATGCATAAGTATTAGAAGCAATATTTTTATGGTAAATTTTATTAATGTGATAAAAAAGGAAAGGATTAGAATTGAACCAAAATATTTGATATAACTTTGGAGGTAAAATATTTAGTAGGCATCAGTTTATTCTTGCTGTCTGCAACAACAACAGACATAAAAATCAGACAGACTAATATTCTGTGCAGCTATAGCTACGGCAAAGTGAGCCTTGATCATTACTGCATGCTGCTACACACAGTTCAACTTATGTGAGAGTAATCTGGGCTGGCTAGACTTGGCAATTCACTCACATCCCAAAGGAGCAACCAACCAACTCGGGTATCTGGGGGCTGGTGGCAGCTGCTGATCCTTAGATGTCTATCGAATGATGCAATAGGTAGTTAATGGTTTTAAATTCTTGTACAGAAAATGGTTTATGGACAACTGATGCCAGAATAAATGTTTCAGATAGTGGGGGGTTTCTTGCTTTCCTTTCTTTTCCCCTTTTTTTGGGGGGAAATGTACTTAACCACATACATTACAGGTATCTATGTATCTCTCTCTCCCAGTTCTGCCCCCACTGCCACAAATTTAGATTCTGATTGTGAATTCTAAGGCAAGGGATAGAATAGGGAAGTGACTAGTTAATTTCTTTGATGCATAACCTGAGTGTATCAGGTGGCTCTGTGAAAATAAAGGTCATATTTCTTCTTCTGTGTCAGAGTAAAATACATACCTACATTTGAGTTAATAGTCCATTGCCTTTTCTTTTCTCGAAATAAACTTGGAACAGTAGGGTCCCTGGGGTTGCTGAACCACTGGATAGCTAATGACAGTTCATTAAAGCTAAACTTGAACTGAGATGTTCTTTGTATAAGGTGATGAGTTTTTTTGTTTTGTTTTGTTTTTTCTTTTTTTTTTTCTTTTTTTACGCGGGCCTCTCACTGTTGTGGCCTCTCGCGTTGCGGAGCACAAGCTCCGGACGCGCAGGCTCAGCGGCCATGGCTCACAGGCGCAGCCGCTCCGCGGCATGTGGGATCTTCCCAGACTGGGACACGAACCTGTGTCTCCTGCATCGGCAGGCGGACTCTCAACCACTGCGCCACCAGGGAAGCCCCAAGGTGATGAGTTTTTCACTTTCTGGATCAAAGATGATGGTTCCATGCCATACAGCAATTTCATTTCTTTTTCCAAACTGCATTGGCAGAATAAGCTAACTTGTTATAGTGACTAAGTCTGTTTTAAGAACTGTCAGGTCACAGTTCATGGTGATAAAAGCTATGTTTGAAGTACAGTGTCACACCTTTGTTTAACATGCAGAAGATCTTTTTTATGGTCTGTGTACGTAATCCAGACTTCATCAAGTTTTCCCAGGACTTACTTGCTCAGGATGGTAAAGGATTCTTGGTATAGGTAAAGCTAGAGCCTTAGACAAGCTGTTTTTCACCTTTTTCTCATCTTTCTTTTACCTTTACTAGATAGATTATATCATTGGCAAAGATAATTTTTTTTAGTTTGGCTGCTTTGGGTGTTCGTTGCTGCGCACGGTCTTTATCTAGTTGCAG